GTGTTTCTTGTACATTATGGTCTACTTATCCAGTAAATACAAGCACATGTTTAAGTGCGGCTGGTGCAGGACTAATTTGTAGTAGTTCTAGTTGTACTTCAGGAACTTGTACAGGTGGCACTTGCTATTGTCCTACGGGGACAAATTGGAATTCAACATTTTCTATATGCTCTACGACATCCACTGGATAATAATTCTGTTCTGAGAAATTCATCTCAAGTTCAGTCTACATTTTTTTCTTCTTCTTCCAATGAAACTTTATAAAAGTAGACGATTATTTGATTATCAAAAATGAATATATTTTATTTATAATTGTTTTGTTCTTATGAAAAACTAAAGAAGTTTTCTTTTTTTTTAATTGAATGTTGTCATATGACATCAATACTGATGAATTTTTCTAATAAATTTAAATGAAAAATAGATTTCAATATCAATTTAATATAATATCATTGAAGAAATCTTAGATTAACTTAAATCGATTCAACTAGTCGACCGGTAGGTGTAAAATCCGTATCACGGTACTAATCGCATCTTTGTAATTGGTTAAAGACGATTGATTTCATTCGTTTCTTTATATAATTTGATTGGTTTAAGCTCAACAGGTCAGTCGACAATATCGGTTCCATCTATGGTGTGAATGTAGGTTAAGGAGAAGATTCACACCGTTATTTTTTTAAACTCTAGTTGTTTTCAACTTGAACAATTTACTTCTGATTCAATTGTAATTTTTAAAATATTTGATTAAATCAAACAAATAAATTATTTCGATTTACTCAAGACTAATTATTTGATTGAATTTGAAATTTCATAAAATGAAAAATCGAAATAAAATATTCAATGAATTTTGAATTAATTATTAATAATGATGATGAGAAAAGAATGAAATCTGATGCACAAAATTCTTCAAAGTAAAATTGTAGACATCGTTTGTACGATACATGCAAAGGAATACTTTCCAAGTGTCAATTCATTTTTGATTCAGGTCTCAGTACATCTTATAGATCTTAAACAATTACATCTTTGCAGGACCCCAGTTTTGCAGTAAGACCATATTTTCGAATTTCGATCTGAAACTTTACTTATTCCCTATTCTAATAATATAACTAAAATCGATCACTAGTGAAAATGCTAAAATTAGTGTATCAATTTCTTCAGTAAATGGCGAAACGATTAAAGATGGAATTAGCTTTCAGTCATCAATAAGCTAATAATGCACTTATCAAACATAAAACATCGTAGAAGTTTGAATAAAAAGAAATAATTGGTGAGAAAATTGTGCTCTAAATATCTTTTATTAATTTGTATACCCAATGAGAACCATCTTCAATTATCGCTCGGACAGCATCAATTGTATTAACAACAGCTGAACGACAACTTGAATGAACGTGAGCTATTCAAAAAGAAAAATAACGGATGAATGAGCTGAAAGAAATGTAAGAATAAGACGTTTTACAAAATCTAGAGGTCTAAAATTTTGCACGCAATCTTAAATATGTCGATATATTATAACAGAATACCTAATCTTCCTATGCAGTTTGTTAAGATCTACAAGACGTACTATATTCTAACTGAAAATCGAATTGATATTTGGAAATATTGTCTTATTAAATACTCCATATTAATCAGAATAAATAAAACATTGCGTCTTTTACTTTCCTACACAAGTATGTACATGTTGTTCATGGGATGTTAATTTCGATGTTTTGATCATTATTGAAATAAGAAAGACAACAATAGACTGCATAAGTTCTGAAGTTTTAAGAGTTGTGATATTCTTTAACTCGGATATTTTGTGTATCTTTCGTCTAACGAAACAAGTCAGAATATTAGTATTTTATTATCACGAAAGACAGATTGGACTTTTTGATAACCAGGATTACTCACGAGACAAAATAAAGAATCATAGAAAAAAAAACTCTTGTTTACTGTAAGAACATGAGTTGCAATGTTCTAGTTCTTATCCCTATAACTTCTTCATATTTTTTAACATATGAGTCTTTACTTTCGAAAAGTATTGATCCATTAACCGATTATGAATATAAAAAACCGTATAATTCATTAATTATTCGTGCCTTTTATCTATTACACTAATAATTCTGACATTCAATATTCGAATAAATTATCATTAAAAAATGTTAATTTTATTTTTGAAAATAAATTTTATTCTAGTTATATAAATGATTCATATAGTTCATCATCATTTATATAACAAAAATCAATAGATATTCACATAAAAAATTCTTTTAATTAAATAAATATATTTGATATAACTAATTCTTTTATAAATCAAATAAATAATAAAAATTTCTTTCAATTAGATCAATATATTAGTTTTAATAAAATATAATTCATTAAAATACAATTGGATACTTAAATTAAATAAGAAACAAAATTTTATTCTTTTAAATGAAAATTTTTATAATTTTTTGTATTTACATTGAACATTTACAAATAATTCGAATATAAATTCTTATTTTATCTCATCATGAACAAACATGCATATCTATTAGATTGTTTGAATTATTCAAATGATAAATAATTAATTGAATTTATTGAAATATTGATGATAATGATCAGAAATGGAAGTCAATCGCAAATTGAAACAAAGGAACAATATTATATTGAGAAGATTAAATTCTATTTTATGATAATAATGGCTGTTAGGACAATACATGCAAGACGAAAATTTCAAATACAATATAGACCTGGATATATCATAAATCAGGGGATTCTGGAATGTAGAATTTGATTTTTCCGATCATAATGTACTGTTAAAGTATGTCTGTGATGAAATATGTTAATCGTAATATATTACAAGAACTGAAATGAAGACCATACGACACATATATTAAATACAATCTTTTTTCACAATAATCCAACAGTAAAGTTCAGTTTCGTGACTATGTCTACGATGGTCTATGGAGAAGAGGAAAAACAGTGTTGTTAAGGTGTCTGTGAAGTAATGACGTAATCACAAAAAACGTTGGTCAGGGCTCGACCCTCCCTTGCCTGTGTCTGCAGAGGAGGCGAAGATCTTCTGGTGATAACAGTGGTAAAGTCACCTTTAGCTTACGCCTTGTTACGGCAGTATTGTGATGATGTCTTAGTTATATTTATGGCGAAGCAGGTTCAAATTTCTTTCCTCCGTACTTCAACATTGCCTTTAGATCGCATTTCAAACAATAGAGTCTGATTGTTGTTGATACAAATCAGACACAAGTGCATCTTAACATTGAATGAACTGTTTTGTACTTATGTTCGAAATATTTTGATATTATACAGTACGAAATGAACCTAATGAATTTATACAAAATTGACTGATAGCAGAAGTGAATATCGCATTGATATTTTTTATCAGAATCTTACGTATAAAAAGAGATTAGTTCAAAGTCATAATAAAAGATCATAATACTCAATTATAAACATCTTTAAAAAACGAAATTCATATCGAATAGATCATGTATGACCAGATTTGACTTAGCTCATAGATTTTTTTTACATTGATTATTTCAGTAAAAAGTCTCGTATTTCTACTCTAATTAAGTGTCTGACGGAATATTCTTAAATTATGGACTTTAATAATGTTCATTCGATACTATTTAATGAGTTTAATCCATTTTCTAAACTATTACAAATAGGAATTAAAAATCAAAATAATATTTTTTAATTCGAATCGTTTTTTTTTGCGAATTGATAGTATCTTTACATTGCGCTCTGCAAGATAATTTATACATCTCATGTTGAATATCATCTACTTGAAATTTTATCTGATATTGATAATTCAGTTTTTATAATTGGAAAATTTTTCTACTGATTTTTTAAAAATATATTCAATACAAATAATCATATTATATTTATTGATCAAATATCTGTTCAACCATTTAATATAAATCATTGTCATCTTGTTTATCAAATAATTCATCAATCGAACTAAACATTTTCATCTTAATCCCAATAATGGTAGTATTGAATATATTCCGTATAAATTTTTTTTATCTATATTTAAACAACAGAATAGTTTCATTTTTTTTCATAAATCTCTCATAAAATAATATCAGAAATTCTTTTATCTAGTCAATCAAAATTTTTCCAACAAAAGAAAATCTTTAATATTCATTTGAAAATGATGATTTAAAAATCTTTTCGAAATTAAATCAATAACTAGACAAGTTCTTTTTTTCGTAATTATCTAATAGATAAATTTTAGTCATTTAAAATTCATATAGAACTAATTGAACAAATTATTATTGTTTTAATAAACAATCAATGATTAAAAACTAATCATCATCGAAATTTTCTTCAAACATAATTAAAATTTATCGAAATCATTTTCTGATAAATTAATAAAAAATGATCAGCATAATCCATGTTCCAAAAGTCGTGACACAAAATGTATATTCACTTTTCAGCCATCTAAACGTAATTAGTAAGAATCAAAAGTAATTAACTACAATCAGTATTTTGTATTCTTAGATGTGGGGTATGAGTGTCGTTGTGCATGTTCGTGAAAACATGACCAATACCCACACCTCACCCTCGACACTCACATCCCTAAATCGATAGAGTTGGATTAATATAAACGATGATGACAATAATAAGGATAATAACAATAGATGAAGATCTAAAAGACAGCAAAAAATAAAATTACGACTGTCTTAATTGCTAAAATCAAGTGATCAATGAGGGATCATGTAAATTCAAAAATACACATTGCTAACTATGCGACATTTCAATATACCTCCATTCAATTATTGAGACTAAATAGAGCACCGTGGTTCTAAAATAGATTTGTTCATTAATTTCAAATTCAGGACAAATAACAAGAAATTCAATAGTTCTGACGACAGACTATGTTAATACTTAAGAAACATCCACACCCACACCCACTCACGCCCTATATATTGATGTCTTGTTTATACAAACAGATGTTAATATTTATCAGAAAAATACAATTATCACATGTGATTATCATCATTTTTTTTCTGAAAAGTAATCTTATTTCAATTTTTATCTAAACGATGTGCTTCTTCAAAGTATACACGTGCTTCTTGATCGCGTTTAGATGTAGTCAACTTTTTTCCTTCTTCCCAAAATAATTTAGATAAATCCTTTTGTAACCGACCCAATAAAACATATTCATCATTGAATATTTCTTTCAGTTTAGGTTCAACACCAAGAGCCTTCTTATTTTTTTCAATATCGATTGTGAGAACATAAGCACTATGTAAATTTTCCATAGGTGATATTAGTGCAAGTAGTTGACGAGCTAATTTACCAGACATAATCGTAATCAGTTGAACATTCGGATTATTTGCAAGATAACCTGTGAGTTTGTCAGAAGAATCGAAAAAAAGCCATTCTGAAATGAGTTTCGACATATTTTGACAACGGAATTTTATTTGTTCATGTTGACCATTTTCACAAATGTGACTATCGAGCCAACAGATTTTAAGAATATCTTTTAATGATAACATAGTGTCAATATTTGCTGTAGAGGGGGACGCATGTGTTGATGACGTCATGTTTTGCTGCAAGCAAAAGAGAACGGATGAAAATGAAGAAGAAAAAAAACGTGTACATGTGTGAAAATATAACTCATTTTGCACAACACAACTCATTCGTGCGCTGTCACTATAGTATTCAATACACGAAGAGAAATGAAAAACAACTGATATTTTAAAACCAGATTATTAATGATTATTGAATTATATACTGTGAAAAGTCATATTACCACATCGTCTTTCCAAAGATTGTGACAGATATGTGGAAAAAATTTCTAAATCACCACTAGCCATAATCAGTCTAAAAGATACTCACGTATCATTAAAATAATTCTCTCGAAATTCATAATCAATTTTGTAGGGATTATGTATGTATGCATCAATAATTTGTTTTTCTGTATTCAACTAATTGAAATGAATCAATGCAGAGAGAGATTCAATTCATTAAAATTTTTTATTTATATTCAAAAAATATATCCTGCTTTTTTTATTACTCAAGGAAGTCGTGAAATTTCACTTTTTGCTACAATAACAATGATGTATACGACTAAAAGATTGTAATAAACAAACTTACCAGCTCAAATCGAATGTGAATGATGCAAATAGAAAACTGACAAATCCACAGAGCTTTGTTTAGTTTCAACAGTGAAAGAGTAACTGACTGATATCTATAGTTATATATAAGCGATGAATCTTCTAGCTGGAAAAATCCAAAGGGAAGTACGTGTATCACACTGGAAAATTCCAGCGTAAGAAGAAGACAATTGGAAAATTCCAATATGTGTCAACAATCATGGCAAAAAAATTTTGTCCAACTCGATACTTGATATACAATACAAAAAAAATTAAATAAATAGAACATCAATTTGACTGAGAAATTTTTACCAGAGTATCTAAACAAATATTTTAGGTCTGATATTACTCAGAAGTTTCTCTGAAATACGCATAGTAGATCATTTTTTTCCCAGTGCTTTGTAGTCAATATTTGTATTTTTTTCTTGTTGTAAAGATCTGGTCTTTTTTTTTATGCTTTACTGATGATAACAGTCCATTATAAATTCATTCAAATTAAATGAAACTTGCGTCTATTTCCTTACACACGATAGAGCAAAGTGAATGATGACGATCATTGACGTGCATTTGTCTCCTATATACATACAATAATAATAAAAAAAGAAAATTTCGACTACTTCAGTCTTTCCATGTAACAATTTATCGAAAAAAGGGGTGAAGTTTTTGATCATGAAAGCGTGTTAAGAAGTTGATAGTGACGAAATCTCATGAGATTTTGTTGAAAAAAATATTCAACGTATTTTCAAGGTCAAAAAGATAACATCTTTTTTCGTTAGATCATTAATTTTTAAGAACGTATGCTTAGGATATAATATCATCATTTCTTTAGGCGCATCTACAGTGCAAATAGACTTTTCTGCTTTTATGTTGCACGCTTATTCGCATTACTGCCGGTATACCGCCGATTTACCGGTGATAATGCTTATGACTTTCGTTTTCACCTATGAACAATTGTAAGAGAGTGTTCTTTACCCGAAATGGAATCAGTTATTAGAAAGGATTCAAATTAGTCGAGAAGAAATGACTTTTGGAATATATTTTACTACTAAACATTTTTTGCAATGTCATCTACAATAAAAAATTTATCTCATGACTGAGATTGATTTAGACTCTATTGCTAGTACAAACTTCTCAGTCACATCAAAGTTATCCTAGTCCATCTAAATCGACTCAATTCTGTCAATCTTAATAGGCTTCAAAAGTATGTACTAGTCATTGATTTGTTGTGAATGCTCGGAAATAAATTTATTCATACATGCAATATATCTTCTTTTGATCTTTAGTCTATTAAATATTAACTTTGCATGTGTTAAATAATTCATTACATTCGCTCTAGAAATGTGACTACTGAAAACAAAGAAACAGCATCATATTGTATTCGAACAAAAACAAAGAAGATCTTTGAAGCGTTTGTTGTTAAGAAGCTCTTGTGAAAATTTAGAAGACACATAAAACTTTAGATCTTTTAAAGACATGAACGTGTCACAAAATGAATTTTTAACATAGAGTTTCATTCCGAAAATGTCCGATTAATATGCTGCTAATTTAATAATATAGTTAATAGATTCATCACATTCTCTCGTAGTTGGTTTCACATTAGCCTAGTGCGATCGAGATATTTTCTAGCTATTATCATTCTATGAATAAAGCTTGCAAATCTTTATGAAGCTGCTACGAATCCAAGGAAAAATTAAAAGAAATGTATTCTTAAAAATGAGATCGTTAAAATATTATTTTATCTTCATCATCTCGATTATTTCCAGGATTCATTCAGTTTTTCGCAATGAATTTTTATCGTCGCTTTAGTTTTGAAAAAATTTTGTCACAAAATAAACTAAATAATTCATCTAACACTTATGTTATCAAGGATGTGGATATGGGTGTTCTACCTTCAGCAACACCCATACTCTTCAGTAAGTACGAAGTAGAAGTTTGTGGTTTGTATCTTACGATACAATTATATAGTAAATAGGTTTCATAATAACGTTTGAAAGGTAAGTGCCCAAGATGTTACTAACTACTGCATTCGTATTCTGGAAAGATATCGGAAATGTTTCTCTGTTGAATCTTTCTATTCAAAAGGAAGAAGTGTACAAGTGAAAGAAAAATAGACGGTTCTATTGTTTATTTTCTTCGCCTTTTTTTTTTGTTTTTTCTTCTGTTCCATAACAGATTTCTTGTTTCATTATAGCACATATATTTCTCTTTCCTGTTATTCGTACTCAATCTATTCTAGTTGTCATTCAATAGGATGACGTTTGTTCAAGATTGTACATTAGAATTGATACGACCTTGTCGTTATCAAATTCGAGAACGACTTTTTGCCTTCGGTAATAGTTGTGAGATGCAATAAGTTAAAAAGAACAACACAACACAACATTTTTCTTTTTACATCATATTTCTTTGTAGAGATATTTTGAAAATTCTTCAAAAAGGATTTCATTTTTTTGATCAACTTCATATATTATCAGTTCGTGATGATGAATCAAATCGACAAAGTTTATGTCTTTTAAACATAGTTATAAAATTTATTCAATCTATGGTGAATATCAAGTAAAAAGACTTGTTATATTCGATCATGCATTTGATTGATGCAAACAATGATAAAAAACAAGAAGATCATGCTTTGATTTTAGCATTGATTATTATTTTACATTAGTTACTTTATTGTTTATAATAAATAATACTTGTTCTTAACATTGTTGTTTATTTTTTATATTTATTTTGTTCTGTAAAAACTCTTTAAAATATTAAAATCAGATTGATAGTTGAACAAACTTATCTTTGTATATATTTTTCTATACTTATTCTATGAAGAGTATTCAATTAAAAAAAGCGAGAAACGTAGCATCAAAGAGTCTGACGCCGATCTCTTCAACCATTTATCTTCTGAATATCCTAGTCTTGTATATTTTGTCTGCATTTCAGATAATTTTTGTAAATTAATAATCAAACAGAAAAATGGATTGACTATTAAGATTTAACGAAGACCGTACTGATTGTTTACTGCTCGTGATGTCAGCGATCATTTTATTAGTAGAGAGGTGTCCAAGGACTGAGGAATAGGAATTCCTACTCAGTTCCCTGACATTTACTTGAATGCTAAAATTAAAAAATACAATATCCACGGTACTTATTACTCTTACACGCGTTTTCATCAAGAAATTTGTGCATATGAACGTATGAGTACGAAAATTATTGCAAAAAAAGCATTATCTTGACTTTCATGAATGAGAGAACTGTGATGGAAATAATGGTCAATTCCCATTTCCCCAAGGAATTATCATAGCTACACTGGTAATTCCTCTGCAAATTAGGAATTCCTATTTCTCAGTCCTTGGACACTACTGTGTGATCTTCCATTAAATTAGACGTCAACTATCGATCTTTTCAAAGAGTATTTATTCATGTCCAACAGTCTCGTTCGTAAACAATCGTATATGGAGAAATAGATATATTGAAATGATTGAACAGATTGTAGATAAACTACAGAGAAATTCATTTTTTAATGAAACATTCAATACTTCATTCGCTAAAGAACTTTGTTATTTTATTTATTGCAAATCAATCAAAATAATGTAGTAATTATTGATCGTAGAAAATAAAACAACGTAGTTCAATACTTTTTTGCTCAACATTTGATGGCGACATATTTTCATTTATGAAAGCTGTATGAAATGCAAATTGAGCAACATCGGACTTGCTATCGAATATTTTGAAGATGAACATCTCGTTGGATCGCATCTGGCTTAGATAGTACCATACATGAGCATCTTGCGTGCTGCGAGTCATCATATAGGCTGTAGAAGTATTCACGGATCCTCGAAGTTCGAGTAGATGAACATCTTTTTCGACGTCAACCGAGCGATAGTCGCAAATTGCTAATGGTTTATCTGTTATTGCATTGGGACCCAATGGTCGCCAAACATTGATCACTTGATACCGATTTTGCATCACTTTCTCGGCTTCTTCTTCTCCAAGCATTTCTTTCAGTTTTTTGCGTATCCCTGATGGATCGCTATCGACATGAGGATCAAAGGCAGGATTTCTATGAGATTGATCACATTGATTGACTGTACGTGGCGAACTTCGAGCACGAAAAACATGATGATAGACAACGACTCTAGAAGCCTTTAGATGCTTTTTCAGAAAATTAGAAATTTCTTCGTAATAAGCTCGTTGTGGTTCACTGTCATCCTGGAATTCTTCTTGGAGAGAACCTTCGTATTCGAGCACTTCCAAGCCATTGGTATCGAGATCAACACTCTTCTCCTTGCCTCGCAAATCGTGAATGATGACAGGAGTTGGTATTTGTTCCATATTTGTTCTTAGCGCTACTGATCTTGAACCCGCCTCTGTCCACGGAGAACAGCCATCTGTCGTGTGTGCTAAATAATAAA